GGGTTCAAGGTTTAGGGTCTGGGGTTCGAGGTTTAGGATTTAGGATTTATGATTTGGGGTCAAGGCATAAGGCCAATTTATTGACCTTTGAGGCTCATCGGGCATTGGAGGACTTAGGGCTCAGGGTTTACCAGACTTGGGGTTTGGGTAAGAGTTGCAGGGTTTGGGGCTTCGGCTTTGCGATATAAATGTTTGGGCGCAGACGCCTTAAACCTAAACCCTAAGCCCTACACCTAAACCCTTCTGGGCAATGCATGAATTGTCAATTTCTCAATCATTGCTTGAGTTTCAACTAAGACGATGCCTGGGCCAAGTGTTCCGGCGCCGTCGTGGCTCTGTGGAAGACGCCTTGGCAGCGCGACGAGACGGGAGCCGCCCTGGAGAGTCGAGCCGCTGGTCAGACCCAGACAGCCCGGGCGAGTCGAGCCATGCGGGAGGGTCGACCAAGCCTCACTACCGGAGAAGTCTCAAGAAGACCTCTGGCATTTTCCCAGAATATGCAATGCTATGGACAATGCAAGAAGCAGAGAGGCGCCAATTGGGCTTGATCAGTGCACTCATAATCCTGACTCGGGGGTATTGGAGCTCGATCAGTACACTGATAATCCCAACCCAAGAATACCGAGGTGTCCGCTGGACTTGTGATGGTCGGGAGTAAAAGAATCGAGCCGTTGCAACAAACATGGGAGGAAATGCTGGTGGCATTCAGGTGCTGCATGTTCCTCATGACCCTTAACCGTACCTGGGGAATTTAGCATGGAAATCCTAAACCCTAAATCCCTTAGACTCCAGGTTCTGTAAATATAAATAGTACCCACGTTGGGCACTGCTTTGGTCTGTTTGGATCCCGAGGTCATTCTCAACTTATCTCAGGAATCTCCAGGTTTAGGGTTTAGGGTTTAGGGAAGCCCATACTAAGCAACTCTTGAGCAACACAGGAGTAGTAACTAGCCTAAACACGTGCACCTAAGTCCTGAATATGCAATGAGAGAACACTCTAAGTCTTGGCAGTAGTCTTTCACAAGAAGAAGTTGGGTGTTCTTCAAAACGTCCCCTACATGATGACCAGAAAAGGCGCCTGCTACACCCTTCTGACTGCCAATTTTCCCTGAACTCCCGAAAGGTCCCCTGTTTCGAGAAACCCCGAATAATCCTGCTTGTTCAGCCAAATCCCTAAACCCTAAACCAGAAACTCACCATGGGGCTCCGACGCGCAGCGCAGCTGGAGCTTCGGCGTTTAGGGTTCAAGAGCACGAAGCGCTATAAACCCCTCCCTATAGCAACTGTTTAATTGGACTCTTGCTGATTAGGGTTTAGGGCGAGATAGAGAGGTTTGAGGTCGTGGGAAGGGTATAACACAATGTGGCCTACGAAACCTAAACCCTGAACCCTCAACCCTGAACCCTTCGCCTCTTGAACAGGAAGCTGGAAGAGAAGCGGGCCGTGCTGTTTGGCGGCTCAGACGCAACCTTCGGCTCCCTAAGACTTCAGTACCTGAAATTCTGGTGCAGAAGATTCCTAAAGGAAGGTTTAGGTTTCTGGTCCAGGTTCTGGAGTAATGGGGGTTTAGGGCTTAAATACTCTTATCTGCATGGTATTTGGGACCCAAAGCCCTAATGACCGAGTCCTTGGACCCCTACAGTATTCCAAGGAGTCCTATAATTGAACGCTTTTTGACATCATGGTAGGCGCTGCATGCTGACATTACCCAGGGCTTGAAGTCTATAGAAAATGTACCTCTTCAGGTAGTATTTTGGATGTCTAAGCACCAAGACCCATATTGTAGAAGCCTGAATGACTACCCGCGATATTCCGATACAATCCTTATAAAATTGCAGTATATAATGGCACGCCAAGAGAGGGCTAAGCGTCGTTTCCCCAAAGCCTGCCACCAGCGAGTTTCGCCGTTTCTGGTGTTGGGGTATGGGGGTTCACGATTCAAGAATTCAGGGTCGGTTGGGGTTAGGGGCTTAGGGTCGTTCAAGTCGTGGGGTTTGCTTCATGACCCGTGGCTCCGGTGCCACTGGTGTTCCCAATCTTTGACAAACCTTCCACAAAGTAACCCAGAATCCACAAAGGTATCATTAATGACTACTCCTCACCCGAAACACTAAATCCTAACAGGGTTCCGCGGAGTTCCATTTTAAAACTTAAGCCCTGCAATATCAATTTTGAATCTTCAGCCCTAAACCCCGAAACCCTGAGCCCTAATCCCTAGCCGTTATACCCCATGCTATGTTTCTTATTGCCGCTCAAGTTGTGGGCTTGGCTCGCCTCGAGCGGCAGTCCATTTCCCCAAGTGTCCATCTAGCTATGCAATATATACCCGGACCCCAAAGCGGATACGCCTGAAAACCTCTTCAGGCCCAAAGGAAGTGTATACTATATGAGCACATGCACCCTAAAGCCTTTACCCTAAACCCTCTTAGGTTTGGTGTACACAGCGCACATCAAAGCATTGACAGAGCTGAGATCAGGTTGGGTTTAGGATGTACCCAGACCCCTGGGAGAATCTAGAAAGTAGAACCCCCAATATGGTACCCTATACTACTATTGGGTAATTCCTAGGAACCCTTAAGGAGGATCTACTTTCTAGATCCGCCCAGGGGTCTGGGTAGGAGGTTGTTCACCCCGGTTCTTTGAAGTTGTTCCTGAGTGAAAGATTTTCCTGTCAGGGTCTCCGCGTCCATGCAAGTACCAAACATTCATATACTTCCCCGAAATCTGTGCTGCTGGTGCTGGGTTAAAGCCCCACAAGTACAGTTTCTAGGACGAATGGCCATACTTATCCATCATGGGTTCCTGTACCACCCCCCTCTATACTACACCCCTAGCTTCGCCCCTTCATTAAGATTATTTACTAGTAGTAGGGCGACTCATGAATCCAGAGTATGGCCGAAGGTATGGTATGGCTCCAAAATGGCCCTAAACCCTTAACCCTTAGGGTTTAGAGTTCAGGGTTTAGGGGGTTAGGTGTTTAAGGTTTAGGTTTTTTGAGGACCCCCAGTTTAATAGCTTGCTGGTGTCCCCATAACTTATATTGGTACACTTCATATGAGCTGTAGTCTAAACTGCTTACAGGGGATAGACAGGGGAGTATTATAGGGGTTACTACGGGGGATACTAGGAGTTTAGACTATAGCTCCTATGCTGTGTACACGGTACATGCTCTGTGTACCGCAACAAGTTCAATGTACCTTATGTGCCCTAGATGTCCTACATGAACAAAATACCCCATGAACTCTGTTCCGCTCAGTTCCAACAAACACCAACGTTAGGCAATTGCTCACCGTTTCCTTGAGAATCTCTGAGTAAAACCAGTTGCTGAAATTCCCGGCACAGGACACTGGAGTCTCCCGTATATACCCTATATACCTCTTACATGCACACTTCCTAGATACCTTATAGGCTACTGTCACCATTTAGAGTGGACAAAGGGGTCCCTCTTGTAGTTTGGTATAACCCCTAATATATTCCGAAAAAGGAGCCCATGTCCATTGGTTATATGGGGTAAAATTGACTGCAGCTCATTTGACCTATCTACCCTATATACCATGCATTCCGGTAGTCGGCCCTCGGAACTCTCTTCCTCTCTAAACCCTCATCGCCTGACAACCCTGCGCTAGCAAGCACCCCGAAGCCCTAAAGCCCACTGAAACCCTGAAATCCTGAAACCCCAAACCCTAAGCCTGGAACCCTAAACCCAAACCCTAAACCTTCAACCCTAAACCTTGAACCCTAAACCCCAAACCCTAAACTTTCAACCCTAAACCTTAAACCTGGAACCCTAAACCCCAAACCCTACACCTTCAACCCTAAACCCTAAACCTGGAACCCTAAACCCCAAACCCTAAACCTTCAACCCTAAACCTTAAACCTGGAACCCTAAACCCCAAACCCTAAACCTTCAACCCTAAACCCTAAACCCCAAACCCTACACTCTAAACTCTAAGGAGCCTATTGGTGTCCCTACTGCGACCAAGAGCGGCAAGCTCTTGGCCGCGAGGTCTTTGCTAATGGCAAGGCGCCACGGATGTTGAGATGGATGCCTTTCCCTAAGGGTCCAAGGACCCAAATAATAGGGTTCCTTTAAAGGGGTTCTAGGGGGATATATAGGGTTTGGGGTTTAGGGTTTAGGGCTTAATGGTCCAAGGACCCAAATAATGGGGCTTTAGGTCCCAAATACCATTAACATTATAGTATGTGGGCCCTAAAGCCCTATTATTTGGGTCCTGGACCCTTAGGGTTTGAGGTTGCTATCGGGATATATGAGCTATAGGCTATAGGAGGCAGGGTTTAGGGTTTGGGGTTTAGGGTATAGGCTCTAAACTCTTTTAAGAGGTGTGCATAGGGGATTGCATAGGGGAGTATCATAGGGGTTATTAAGGGGGATACTAGGAGTTTAGACTATAGTTTATATGAGAAGCTGAATTTGTTTATGTGTGTCTATGGCAGAGTGGAATATGATGTTTTATCATATTTAGAGCCCGACAAAGGGTGTTAAACAGATTTTCTCGCAAGCATCCACATAGGGAGTCAGTCTTGGGGTGCTGGGTTTTAGAGTTTCAGGGACTTGGAGTAGGGCTTCAAGGGTTTAAGTTTTAGACGTTTAGGGTTTCAGTGTTCATGGGCAGACATGTAGGCTTGGACAGAGCTCTTGGAGTAGAAAAAGAAGTTCGCGCGACCTAATCAGCTCCCTCACAACCCTCCGTATATGGGCTACTCTAGAAATCAATGCCTGCATAAGGGATTACAATAGTACGCCCCGCCAAAGGTACCCCCCCAGATTTAGAACCCTATTCGGCCTTATTAAGTTCATATAGTCCTTATTAGCTCCTTAAACCATGGGGGGGTACCTTTGGGAGGGTATTATTGTAACCCCTTACATTCCCTACTAACAACCAAAGACTTTCAAGTTGATGCCTTTAAGCTTTGTGGCCTTGGGTTTGGCGTCCCACATAACTAAACCCCAAACCCTACCTGGACCCCCAAAGTATGTAGAATTAAAGACTTTTGGTCTGTTTTTAGGTGTTTAGGCCCATTATTTTACATATTCTTGGGTTTAGGTAAATCTTAAATCCTGGATCCTAGTTATCTATCCCATGGGCTAGGGATCCAAACAGAAGGATATAAGCCCCATAGGGGTACAAGGAACACTCTCTGAAACAACCATCCAAAACCGCTAAATCTTAGATCCTAAACTTCAAATCCTAGACCAAACCCTAAACCTTAAATCCTAAAACCTAGGCCTTTCAAACAGGCAACCTTAGAGCCTGAAGCTCTAATGCCATATGATGTTGGGTAGTGTTTAGGGTTTAGGGTACCCTAAGCCTTAGACCCTACACTTTTGGGGGGGGGGTTTAGAGCTTCAGAGTTTGGAGCTCAAGGTTTCAGAGGAGCTTAAGGTTCTTCAAGCGTACATGAACCTTGATAAGTTAAGCCGCCTTTTACGAGGCCAGTGGTCTTCTTATGGCCTTCTCAGTTCAGAATCCTCCCTGCTGTGGTGTCTGGGGAATACAGGCATAAAAGTCGTCACTTGGGTACGGCCCCCCCTCAGTAACAGTTGGATAATGATTATAATATGGTTATATATAGCCCTCAATAGGACCCCTAAGACTGTTACTGGGTGCGGGCAGTACCCAAGTCGTCACTTAAATCGGCCAGGCATACGTGCGATACGTGGAGTGCGATCCGCGTGGGGAGAACGGTCAACCTGGTCTTTGCCAAGCAGCAGGGGTGATACTTGACCGCAGGAATTTAAGGTTGTAAGTTCAGGTTTAGGGCTTTAGGGTTTGGGGGTTTAGGGTGTGGGGTTGTAAGTTCAGGGTTTAGGGTTTAATTTAAGGCTCCATGTTGGTGAACCTGTATGCGGTTTGGGGGCATTAGTTTCCCTGCGCTTCTACAAGAAGGGTTCTGCTTCTTTCCAAGAGAATGGGGTTTACGGTGACAAGTAGGAATAAAGTGGGAAGAGGTAACAGGGACGATTACAGGACTGTGTAGTGATTACTATAGGGATTCGCATGTCCTCATTCTCTATTAACCTCAGCCGCATGTAGGCTACGGGCTTCAGTGTGTTTGGTATAGGGGTTGAGTTGGTAGGGTTTATGGTCCGTGCTCATAGGGTTTAGAGTTTAGAGGCCCAATGAGCTGAGGGTTGCCACGTGGTCCATGGAAATCGATGGGCATCAGGCATTACAGCGGGACGGTTGCCAGGTAGAACCGGGCCCTAAACCCTAAACCCTAGGCATTCTAGACTGGAGCCGCCTCTTGAGCAGGCGCCGACAGCAAGCAGAAAGCCAGCTGGCATCCGATATATGCAGGGCACATGTTATCAAGGCTTCTGGATCTAGGGTCTACCTGGACCCTCATACTTTTCGGGTTTAGGGAGTATAAGAGTTTAGGGTTTAGGATTTAGGGAGTATAAGTTTTAGGGTTTAGGGTTTAGGGTCTACCTGGACCCCAAATGTATGTAGAATTATAGCCTTTTGGGCTGTGTTTAGGTGTTTAGGGCTATTATCTTACATACTCTTGGGGTTTAGGTAGGGTTTAGGGTTTAGGGAGTATAAGGGTTAAGGGCTTCAGGGTTTAGACTTCTTGCCGGCGGAGTTGCCTTTGGGAAGCCGTCGGGCCCCGTGCACTCCATGATCTGCGAGACAGCCCTTGATTTTACACATGCAGCTTCTGAAGTTTCCTGCATGCTATCACCCAAGAAGCTCCGGATCCCGGGTCCATATACTCAAGAATTGGGTCCACAAGCCCTAAACCCTAAACCGAATAATCAGGTACTCGGGTTTCTTCGGCTCGTAATTGTAGTAAGGCTTTTTGGGAAGTACATGAGACGCACTTGGGCCCCTAGGGTTGCCTGTGTAAGCAAAGGGTTTAGGGTCCAGCTATTCCTGAAGGCCTAAACCAACCTAAACCCTGAACCCTAAGTCCTAACTCGAAAGCGTAAACCCTAGAATCTAAATCCAAGACCCTAAACCCTAGACCCTACATCTTGCACCCTTATCCCTGAATCTCAAACCCCAAATCCCAAACCCTAAATCCTAAACCCTAAGTCGTGAACACTAAACCCAAAATCCTGAGCCCTAATCTTAAATCTTAGTACCTGACCAGCCCTGTTCTGCGCCAGTATCCGCATGTAGCGTTTAGGGTTCAGAGTTGGTGCTACTGGGTGTTAAATGTAAGGATTTTCCAAGTGGGTAGTTGCCCCCTATGCGCCTTGCATGGCCCCGCCTTCAATTCTCTCATATTCGCCATACGTAGGGCTACCCACCCAGTAACTTTGCATGAGGCCTGGTGGAAACCTTGCGTCCGCTAACGGAGAGCCCGCAGGTGTCATAAGGATCCTGCTGCAATTGCATGAGTGTAGAAATTTTGGAAGCGCGGGGCCCCTGTTTTTGCACAAGCTGTGATACTGAAAACCCTTGCATGGTCCAGCATGCTACTATATAGGGCCATAATTCCCAAGGTATACGGAAATTAGGGTTATGCTGGAATTTTTCGGTATCCAACCATATCCACAAATAGATTCGCATAACATGCAGCTGCCAAAGCCTCTACCCTAAACCTGAAGCCCAGAAACTGGTGGGCCCAGACGGTACTTTGACTTTAGGGTTAAGGGGTTAAGGGTTTAAGGTTTAGGGTTTAGGGTTTGGTTTAGGGTTTAGGGGGAGGTCCAGGGTAATCATGAACTAACTGTAGTCTGTAGCTCAAGGACAAGCCCCTAAGTGGAGTTTCCCTAAACCCGGTTCCTCAAGACATGCTTAGGTTAGAAGGCCCCTTTGGGAAGTCATCGCTCACGCTGGTAGCGAAGAAGACCTGCCAACCCTAAACCCTAAACCATCCTAAACCCCTGAACCCCAAAAGCCCTAAACCCTAAACCCGTAAAGCCCTAAACCCTAAACTCTAAACCCAAAACTTCAAAACCCAAAACCCGCCATTGAAGCCGAAGCTGAGAATCCAACCTATCTTCAACTCGTACATGGAACTATGCTCGCTGGCAAGATGGCCAACACGCAGTTTAAAGGGATTATAGGGGGATAGGGTTATCAAAGGAGTTATATCGGGTTTATGTAGCGGTTATATAGGGATACTACAAAAAACGTGGAAACTACTATCTAGGATTTAGGGTTCAGAGTGTAGGTTACACTTTAGGGTTCAGGGTTTATGGGGATCTAGGTTCCGACATAACCCGAAAATCCTAAACCCTAAACCCAACCCTGAGGCTCCCCAGCAGGCTCTTGCGCAGAGTTTGGTTTTCAACTGATGGTGCAAGGTTGAGTTAGTCGCCTCAGGGTTTTGGGGTGGTGTAAAGGGGTTATAGGGGGGTTATATAGGGTGTAGGGTTTAGGGGTTATATAGGGGGTTGTATAGGGATATGATAAAGGGGCTATATACGGATGTCATTTTGACCGAAGATGTCGATGCCAGGATGAGCAGTGTAGAAGCCTAAGGGCATATCTATAAAATGGTCCTAGATTCATTGCACCAATTTAGATGGTATAGGGTACCTCGAATAAACCTCAAGATTTTATTGGTGAATGTTTAGGCCTCTACATCATGTGCCACCCTTGCGAAGCTCCTAAAACCTAAATCCAAGCCTTCAGCCCTAAGTCCTAAATGCCCGAATCCCGGAAACCTGAAGCCTAAGCCCTACAACCCAAACACTAAACCTTAAACGCAAAAAGCTAAGTGCTGAGCCATAAGCCCTAAGTCTTAAATTCTGATCCCTAAATCCCCAAACCGCCTTCACTCAGGACAAGCTTTCCTACTTGGGCCGTAGCAGTTGAACCTAGCTCCGCCGATGCCTTGCCCTTCGAGCTCCACCCTGGCCGGGTTGCGGGTAGGGGTTTCGGAGTTGGGGTTCAGGGTGGCTGAGGGCTACCCTTTTTCAAGGTTCTGCTTCCATTAGATATATTCTTAGGGTTTAGGGTTTGAGGGGTAGTAGGGGGCTGGTTAGAAGAACCCAGGATACACCCTACTTGGATGTGCAGGGCAATCAAAGCCTACTCAGCAAGTGGAGTTACAGTCCTCTTTTATACGGCCCCTCAGTACAGCTACCGTAGACATAGCTGGGTTTTACCCCGGTTAAAAAGGCTCCAAGTAGTTCACATCCTCAAGAAAAGGGGTACAAGTCTAAGCCATAAATCCTAAACGCCCTGATTTGTTACCCCACCTCCGCCGTAGGCAGTTGCCTAGGCTCTTGTTGGGAAATCTTGCGAGTAGCACCTGCAGAAAATTGCAACATGGCTCGGTCTACCTACAACCTATTCTTCCCCAAGCTGATGCAGAATTCCATGTGGCCTCTGTCAAGGAGAGCACGTTTTACATCAAGGGGCTTACTTTTCATGGGGTCCGCCTTGGGTCTCCCATATTAGTTGGCACTACCTCAAACTCTAAAACAGAAATCCTAAAGTCTTTAACTTCACGCCTGCAACCCCTAAACCCTGTAACTCTCCTGGGGATTTGCTGCGGTTTAAGTGAGGGCAAGCCCTAAACCTACATAACCCCCTTGAAGGAGTTTAACCCTAACCAAACTTCTAAACCCTCAACCCCAAAGAGGAAATCCACAGCTTCTGCACCTGGTGCAGGTTTCAAGGGTTTGTCTGGGCTGGAACGGCTGGTGGGCCTTCCGCGGGGGGCTAAGATGAGATGTCTACTTGTTGTAGAGGCTTCGGGTAATCCCTAAACTCAAAGCCCTGAATGTTTTGACTTGGATTGAAGGGTTTAGGAGTGGAGGTTGAGGCTTGGGTGGATTTGTGGGTTGTGTGGAGTTAGATTTGAGGCCGTAGGTTATGGGTTCAGGGTTATGGTCTACTTGGAGGGTCATGGGGACTTAGTAAGAAGGTTAATAACCTATACGCTTATAAGCCATGTAATAACCCCGCTTATGCCAACTAATGACCTACTTACTAAGTCTCCATGACCCTCCTGGTAGGGTTAGGATTTAAGGGAGAGCTCCAGCCCTGGGTTTAACAAAACTACTTTTGGGAGTTAAGCCCCACCCCCTAGACCCTGAACCCTGGTATCAGGATATTTTAATATGATTATATGTACTTGCCTCAATATGTCCCCTAGTATAGACTGTTACTGGGGCATATACATATGGTTTCGAGAGATCAGAGTAAATCTTCATACATCTGGATATAAGGTTTCGGGTTGTGGTTCAGAGTCTAGGGTCGGGTCTAGGATTTAGGGTTTAGGGGGGTGTGTCTTTTTGAAGCAAGAAACCGCAGTGTAGAGTTCAGAGCGAAATCCTTAAACCCTAAACCCTAATCCCAGACCCTACACCCTAATCCCAAACCCTAAACCCTAAACCCTAAACCCAGCGGGTGAATGGTAGCGGGGATAAAGATGCCATGGCGAGGCAGGGCTCTTGTATACTTCAATCGAGTAGTATTTTATGGGTTTAGGGTTTAGGGTTTATGGTACCAATTATAGGGTAAGATTCTATCCTTCTTTTGGGGTATAGTATCTTACATAAGGAATATAACCTTACTAGGTTTGACCACCAAAAAAAGCGCTACTCAATCAGGAGTACACAGTACATGCTAATTATCTAGGCATGCCCCTCAGCTGCTTTTGGGTTGGGGTGTCGCACTTGTGAGGGGGGTTTACTCTAGAGTGTTTTTTGACACCCACCGCCCGCCCAACACGGAAACTAGACGCGGAGCTGGAGGCTGCACAAGTGGTTATATTGGGGCTATACAATATATGGGTATAGTATAGGGAATCTAGGGATAATGGACAAGAAAATGGAAACTAATATTTAGGGGTTTTAGGGTTTTGGGTTCAGGGCTTATGGTTGGGTTTAAGGTCTAGGCTTTACATGCTGCAGCGTTTAGGACAAAAGGTCTTCAAATGACCTTTGAGGACCAAGTGCCCAGCTGTGGTGGTCTTAGGCACCAAACACAGTGGTCTCAGTCTCAATGGTGCGTGTACTGGATACCACCATACCGCCAAATTCGGATCCATGGGCTTCAAGGTAATGTTGCTCTCAAGCCTAGACTCGTAAACCAAGATCCATCCTTATTTGTCATTATAGTCCTCTCAGCGGGTGCTCTGACCCTAAGCGTCCAAGAGCTGAAATATGATAGCTTGAAGTACCATGAAGTACCAAAAACGCACATCTCAATGGCCTGCGATACCCAAAAACATCATGCTGAACGCTTGGACATTTTTGTGTGATTATCATAGGACTCTTGAAAGGTTGGGCACAGCCTAAGCCTAAGTCCTAAACCCTACACCCTAAATCCTACAACCTAAACCCTGAGGTGGTGATCTGCCATGTCAAGCTTTGCAGCAACAGCAGCAGCAGCAGCAACGGCAACGGCAGCAGCAGCAGCAGCGGCAGCAGCAGCAGCAGCAGCAGGGCAAGCGATTTCTTGCAGCATGGTCATTATGAGGCTACTTGCTTAGTCCCCCTGTTCCTTACCCCTGAACTCTAAAACCCTGTGACCTTTAACCCTACGCCCTAAACAATGTTGGATTTTTATTGCTAACCTGCCTACTCAGTTGCCCTGACATGTCACATGTGCTCTGGACCGGGTCAAGTCAGGCCGGCCATCAGCAGCAAAGTCTACCTAGACCCTTAACGTATGTAAAATGATGGCCTTTATGGCTTTTTAAAAAAAATGGGTTTAGGGCTATTATTTTACATACTTTTGGGGTTTAGGTATTGCAAAGCATAGCAAACTGGCCTTGGCGTATCCTCGGGCTTCTTTGGAATTACTAAAGGTTCGCTGTCCCCTTTGACAAGCAAGGTTAAATTCAGAGATGGGAGGGCCTTCACCCTTCCCTCCTAAACCCCTAAACCCCTGAACCCTAAACCCCTACACCCGAAACCCCAAGCCTTTAAAACCTCTGAGCCCTAACCTCTAAATCCCAACACTCCAAAACTCTAAATCCCTAAATCCCTGAACCCCAAATCCCTAAACACCACACACTAACCCTCATAACCCTAAACCCTAAATCCCTAAACACCACACCCGAAGCCCGCAAAGAGGCCCCCGCCGGAGGAAGTCGCGGCTGCTGTGGCGCCGCCAGTAAAGACCAATTCGGACGTGCAGGTGTGAGAAAGGGTTTACCTAGACCCTCCAATGTAGTACCTTTTTGGTAGTCCTAATAAGAGTCCTACCCAAAAAAACCATACCAAACCCAAAAAAGGAACTACATTGGAGGGTCTAGGTAAGGCTTAGGGTTCAGGGATTTGAGGTTTTGGGGTTTTTAAGGACTAAGGGTTTACGGTTTTAGGGTTCAGGGATTCAGGGGTATAGGGTTCGGGGTTTCGGGTTTGGGGTTTAGGTTAAAAGAAGGCTTGGTGGAAGGAGTTAGGGCCTGAGTTTTGGGGGCTTTCAGACTGGACTAGGATTTGGGGTCCACGTCTTAGGGTTGTTTCAGAAAACGAGAAAATAAGCATGAGTCAGCTTGCTACCGGGCTCCGCATCATCGCGAATACTGTTTCCAAGGTAGCGCAGAAGGATTGGACAAATTTCAGCCGCTTTCCAAAATCTACTGCCTCAAACACTCTCATGGTTTCTGCGGAAGCGAAGCAGGCGGTCTTCGTGTTTCTGAAAATAAGGGTCCTTTGTTAGGGATTACGCATGATAAGGACTGTACTGTTATACCTCTTTGGGCATATATAAGGGCCCATGCAGCCCCTCTTTAAACTAGATTTCCCAAACTCTTCAAGCTCTAAACCCTAAACTCTCAACCCTAACCTAAATCCTCAACCCTAGACTCTAAACCCTGAACTCTAAGCCTTAGACTCTAAGTAAGCCCCCAAGATCCACCCTAGGCTGTGAACAGCCCTGATGCCTAAACCCTATTGTTTGGGGTATGCATGGCGGCCCTAAACCCTAAACCCTAAGGCTAGAAAGACCAGCCCTCTGGTTAACAGGAGCTATAGTCCAAATTCCTTCCAGGGATGTTGAAGGTTATATGAGCTAGAGTCTAACCTCCTTAAAGGGTGGTTATATAGGGGATAATATAGGGAACTACTATAGGGGTTACTAAGGGGGATACTAGGAGTTTAGACTATAGCTCATATAGGGATAACGGAAAAGCAAATGGAAACGGTAGGGATTTGTTAATACAGAGGACTATTCTTGGGGTTTATTCAGGGGGATACTAGGAGTTTACAATAGCTCAAATGAGTTTATGTCCCCCAGGGATTACTGGGGAATGTTTTAGGTTCATTACCTTTAACCCCTATGTAATCCATGGGGATGGGGGTTTAGGGTAGTTTGCTACCCTCAGGCTCAAGGACCTTCAAAATCAAATGGAATCCCAAACCTTAGCCCCCAAAAGCCCAAACCTGCCCAGAAAGCCCCAGATAGTCGTACGGCTTCCTCATTGTAGAAACTTAGCTTAAGTTCCTTAACAGCAACCCAGTAATCACGTGAGTTCTTTTCCCTCAGCCCCTGACACCTGAACCCTGAACCCTAAACGTGCTTTAGGGTTTAGCGTCCAGAGTTCAGGGTCTACCTGGGCCCCAGAAGCATGTAGAATTATAGCCTTTTGGGCTGTGTTTAGATGTTTAGGGCTATTATTTTACATACTTTCAGGGTTTACGTAGGGTGAACCCGTCACACTCTAGAGTGGCCCTAGGGGTCCAAGCACTTGACAATGATATACTTATCCCGAACCTGTAGTATGTCTGATTACTTATGGGGTACCGTGGACCCTCTGACTGAGTCCTTATTGGGATACTACGTATTGCTAAAGAGGTTTCAGGTTTTCTTTTTTGGGCCTGAATACACGAAAATGAACAACATCTTCACTCCCTAGTGCTCCCAGTTACCCAAATAGTAGGTTACTGGGCTATGTAACTATAGGGTATATAAGACCCAGTTCCCATTATTTAGGTAACTGGAGCCCTAGGGGCTCATGGCACCAGTAAACCCTGAAATCCCAATGCGGCTGCTGGAGGCGGTGACGGTGGCCCGGCAGTTGCAGCAAGGTGGCCTTCTTGCGGTTTTATGTAACGCTGACCCCCTAAAGGATCCAAAAAAATGGAACCCTTTAAAGGGGTTTATAGGGGTGATATGGGGGTGATATAGGGGTTAAAAAGGGGTAATGGAAAAGAAAATGGAAACTACTATTTAGGGTTTAGGGTTTATAGGGTTAAAGGATCCAAAAAATGGAACGCCCCCCCCAATATGAACCCATTACTACATTGGGGAAACTAGGGGATTATTAGGGGGTTCCATTTTTTGGATCCTTTACGTAGGGGGTCTAGGAAGTGATGATTTCGGGTTGAGGGTTTGAGGGATTCTGGTTGAGCCTGAGTACCTCATACTCCGGGGAATTTAGGCATTGTACTGAAGTCACGGAGAGGTTTTAGTATCAACACTTTCGGGGTTCCTCAGTAGGAGGGGTCTCCACGAAGAGGGGTTCTCTTCTTGAAGATTACCAAATCAGAGATATACGTCGTTTAGCCATTTAGGATTTAAGGTGTATTCAGGGTGTGTGAGGGGCCCCTAGTCTTCAGGAACTCCCAGATGAAGATATTTTTCGGGGATGAAGGAGTAAAGATGGATAGACGGATAGATGGATAGGCAGGCAGGTACGTAGATACACACGTATACGACCCTAACCCTGAACCCCAAGCCCTAAATGGGGGCATGCCAAAATGATTGGCTTGTAGCTCACACTCGTTGCATACCCCGTGACAAAGGGTGTGTGTGTGTGTGTATGTAACAGAGAGCCCCCCCCAAAAAGATGCTTGTGTAAGTATCATGCATAGGACTCTTGTATAATAGGTATATGTGCGTGTATCTATTCATATGTACTGTGTCCTCCGTATAAGGGCTGAAGTTGATAGGATAATGGTAGTGAGGCCTGAACCAACCATCCATGGGCAAGGCCCTCATACGCGATCCGTAGAAAAAACTGACTAAACCCAAAACCCTAAATTCTAAAATAACTTAAACCCTAAACCCTCAAAACCTAAACCCTAAACCTTATGGGCTGTTGAGCAGAATTAGAATTTGGATCTGGTTTTGAGGTAAGGTTTAAACAGACTTGCTGGTTGGCGTGGAGATTCCCTCTTTTGGGACCCCACCATGTTCTATCCTTTGTTTTTCGAGTGAAGGGTTACAATGAGGCCTCTGGGTGTAGTGGTTGGAGTCTGAGCCCTAAACCCTCAACACCAAAATCATCAAAAACCTGTGCAATAGACCCTAAAGCCCTAAACCCTGAACCTTCATCCGAATTCCTGAAGCCTCAGCTGTAATCCCAGATACCTACAGTTTTATGAATTACAGGCCAGGTATGGATTATAGGGGCAGTTCTTACTATGTACGTAAGTCGGGTTACAGGTAAACCCCTAAACCCTAAACCCCCTAACCCTAAACCTTCAGCTCTAAACCCCCTAAACCCTATACCCTAAACCCTAAACCCTATACCCAGCCCTAAACCTTCAATCCTAATCCGACGGAGGTGGTGCGGTTTTCTACGGAACTTTTTGGTGTCCGGCTTGCGATGCCCAGCGGCAGGTGTACCGGCTGCAGTTTGTGGCTTTAGGTTTTTGGGTTTAGGGTTCAGGGTTAAGGTTGTGTGGCTTTACAAATGCAGCGAAGTTAAACCCTAGGCCATAAGCGCGAAGCTCAAGGCCCCAGCCCTAAACAAGACCCTAAAAACAGCGGGACAATCGTTATAAAGCTCTTACATTGCCCCTATTTCAAACTCTTACTGGGCGGCGGCAGTACAGAAGCTAAACCGGAATCCACAAACCCCACAAGAAAACAATCATAACCCTATAGGGATCCAAGTAGACAAATAATGCCTGCCAGGGGTCCGAAAGTCTGAAGACATTGCCTACATTGAGGGTTTAGGGTTTAGGGGTGTAGGGTTTAAGGATTTAGGGTTTTGGGTTTCAGGGTTTAGGGTTTTGGATTTAGGGCTTAGGGCTTAGGATCCCTAAACCCTAAACCATTACCTACATTGGGCTATTTGGATCCCTAGGCTCAGCTTGGCGCCTCAACCTTCGAACTGCCAGGTCTTCGGGCAGCCTGCCTGGGCACAGGTGGATTAGGGCTCAAAAAATCTTAGGGCTTAGGGTTTAGGGTTCAGGATTTAGGGCTTAGGGTGTGTTACGACTTATATACAAATCCTGCATGACTGGAGGTACCTTATACCTTGACTGAGAATTTTGGTTTTGTTGTATGCTGAGGTTCTGCGGAATTTCTAGTACCAACGTAGGGTACAGTAATGTGGGTTGTGTGCGCATCCGTTAGTTCCCGGTATAGAGCAAGATGATGTTATCCCTCTAGTTGAGGTCTTTTATTGGAGCATAGGGAAGATGGTGTTGCCCCTCAGGTTGTTGTCTTGTATAAGAGTATACAGAAAGATTGATGTTATCTTTCTAGTTGTGGTCTCTTATGAGAGGAAACTGTGTTTATTCAGTAAGGTTGTTGCCGCTAAGGTTTTTTGATGGATCCTAAACCCGAGACCTTTGATGGATCCGAGGTATGCCTTGTCCCGCGGGGTAGTGGGCTTGTGTTCATGCTTGACGATCGAGTCTGAGGGTTTCCAGTTTTCCCTTGGTTAAGGGTTTTGGGTTTAGTCTCGATGATAAGGTTTGAGTGTTTCCAGCTTTCTCATACAAGCCGTACATGGGATTTATGTAAGTGTACCTACTTGGGAACTCCACCTGGAAGCCTAAACCCCTCTGCATTTTCAGTTTCCTTCATCTGCAAAATGTTCTGACCTTGCCGGACCTCAACCCAAATCTGGCTCGTTGATGGCTATGAAAATCGTGTTTCTTTCTCATACAAGACCTTACGGAGCCAGGTATACAAATAATACCTACATTGGGCCCTAACGTCTGTAAATGTTGCCTACATTGGGTTATTCGGATCCCTAGGAAAAGTAGATGCTAGAGACTTATCTTTAAGAAAAGGAGCCAGGGTTGTGCTTTGGTGCAGAATTCTCCCGGAAGTTCTCATTTGGCCACGTTCCTTCGTTTGGTTTCTTGGGCCTAGGCCCTAAAGCCTACACTTCTGGGATGTTCTTGAAGCGCGGACCCCTTTTTGCGGAGTGCTTTTCAGCGCTGCTTTTAGCTCCTTGGAATGGTGGGCGCTTTCTGCACCATTTCAATTGTCCAGGCCGCTAAACCCTATAATTAAACCCTAAACCCTGGACGACCCTCGCTGAGGTAGAGAAGCCTTCATACTCATGGGTTCCCTTACAATCCGCCGCTACCCCCGTAATCCTCCTAGAGCCCCGCTAAGATACAATACTAGTTCCCCAGAATTCGAAATTCAAAAGAATTGCCCCCTAAACCCTGAAACCCTAAACCCTAATTCCCGAAAACCTTAAGCCCTAAACCCTAAAACCCTAAAACCCCAAGATTACTGTTAGAAGGGCCAAGGCTAAAGTTGCTCGCGGCTCGCATCCTCTGAATTAGGGGGGGTTTAGCACGATTCTCGCGGATTAGGTATCTCATTGGTTTCCTCAGTGTTGATTGTTTTCGAATGGTTCTAGACAGGATTTTGTAGTAGAATCTGAATGTGATTCGAACTGGATGCATTGCGATGTTGAATGTTGATTCGTTTTATTTTCTGCAACTAGGTTACAACTCAATTTCAGCTGATCGACAATCAGATGTCAACTTAATTCTAATTTGATATAAATGGGTTTGATTACGCTTTCGGATTGATTTCAAATTGGCTTCATTGTTTACATGTTCATTGGCTTTCACCTGAGTTTGATGGTTCTAGTACGATTGAAGTACGATCAAAGGCTCTTTATTCGATTTGATCGACTTTTCCTCTATCTAATTAGGTTTCAATGAGATCCCCATTGCATAAGCCCCCCCCCTAATGTTTCGATAAATACACCCCTCCCCCTAGTATTGAATGTGGTTCGGAATCTATACGTTAGAGAGGGGGGCGCCTTTGAATGTTAGATTGGAAGGGAGTAGGTTCCCTCTCAGCCAGCCTTGTCGCGCTCTGATTATCCCCACTGAAGAAGGATTCAAAAAGGTGGTAGTATGGGGGGTTTAGGGTTGAGGGTGTGGTAATGAAACCCAGCCCTAAACCCTAAACCCTAAATCCTAAACCCTAAACCCTAAATCCTAAACCCTAAACCCTAAAAAACCTAAGGCCTTATAAGCCCCATGTCTCCTTGGCTCGTCCCCACATGCATTTAGCCGATCTTGTTTAAGGGAAGGCAGCTCTGTATCTAGGGATCCAAATAGCCCAAACAGGGGTTTAGGGTTTAGGGTTTAGGGGTTTAGGGTTACAGGGTTTAGGGTTTAGGGTTATAGGGATCCAAATAGCCCAATGTAGGTTATGTTTATGGACTTGAGGGCTGAACGTGCGTATGATCTGCATACTTGTGATTTTCGGGGCTCAGTTTGGAGCATTTGAGAGTGAGTCTTTGGCGACAAGCCACACTGAGCAACACAATTTCGGAGTACTGTCTGCTGTGAAGCAGGCTCCAGCAACGTTACCAAAACCTAGACCCTAAGCCCTATAAACCTAGCCCACCCTAAACCCTAATCCGCCCTAAACCCGGATCCTTTGATCGGTATAACTCTGAACCCAAGACCCTAAACCACATAGGGCGTTAGCAGAAGATGGACGAGTAGCAAAAGGGTAGAAACAGTAGCAGCCAGGGCAGGAGGCGGCGGCGGAGGAATGCTTTGTAAGCAATGTGCCATAGGGTTGGGGTTTATGACTTAGGGATCAGGGTTTAGGGTTGAGGTTTTACGCATGGTTTAGGGTTTAGGGATTAGGGTTCAGGGTTTAGAATTGAGGGAAGAACGAGTGGAAAACCCCTCATCCTTCCACTCCCAAACTGGAAGCCCATACGCCTCAACATACTTTCAGCAGGTGCCGTACGTGGAGTGCGATGAGCGCGTTGCACTCAGAGAACACGATGTTCTGGGGTGAGCGTTTTGAAGTAAGGGGTCGAGGGTTGCTGCTAAGCAGATAGAGCAACCTGGTGTATAGTAGAATATGCAGGAATGGATCCCAGTAATCCTGAAACAGCCTCCTAAACCCCCGCAATTCAATCTGTTAGATATTGTATCTGCCAGTCCTCGGCTCTTCATATGGAACTATAAGGTTAGACCGTCGAGTGGGTTTTTCTTGACATGTCAACCTGAAAAAAAAGCCTTCGAAGACACCCCATGAAATTAGTGTTGTGTGTCCGTCTGTTTTTTGGTGCGGCTTATGGCGTCTGATAGCAGGCCGCGGCAGCTTTTCTCACACTCACCAGCAACTGACCACATAAATTACAAGACCTTCAGATAGACACCATCAAAACTGCAGGTGTGGTTTTTAAGCTCCATGAAATTAGTGATGTTTTTGTTTTTGTGGTGTTTGTTAGCAGGCCGTGGCAGTCTAAGTAAGAGAGAAGTCGCCGGTGTGGTGGGGCGGGGGAGGCAGTAGTAAGAGAACCAAGTGTTTCCCCTGTAAGCATCCGGAAGATTTAAGAATCTTTCTAGGTGGAGAACACCTGTGTTTTGTAATGGATAGCAGAGGGGAGGGCTTACTATGTATAATATAGCCTTACTTGGTTCAACAACCCAAAAGTGCGCTACTCAGATGTGTTTCTGAATTCGCCGGCTTAAGCTAAAGGTCCCAAGTACTCGTACCTGAATATCATTTACTTGGGATTTTGGCAATAGACATTGTAGTGCAGGTTCGGGTAAGTAAGTGAGTCTTACTTAGAGTAGCAAGAAAGTGCCGTGAGAGGGTCTGTCCCCCTATTCCTAAAGGGTTTAGGGTTTAGGGTCCTTAGATCCTACGCTCTAAACCCTTAGCCCTAAACCGGGGGCCCATGGCCCGGGGACCTACTTTTTTCATACATGCCACCAAAGGCTTTAGGGTGTAGGGGCTTAGGGTTTACCGGGACCCCCAAAGTATGTAGAAGTATAGCCGCTGTTCGCTGTTTATAGGGGTTTAGGGCTTAGGGTTCGTGGAGAGCTAGTCCCAAATTTCCGAGTTCAAACCACATATGCAATCGGTAGATTCTCGATACCCGGTTGGAGGTGCGTTCTGCGTTCTCATCTTTCCGAGGCCCTATAAAGCCCTAAAGGATCCGAGTCATTGCGTGCTTGGACACCTACTGTTGATGCATGAAATCTTGCACCACCTAGGGGCCCTAAACTACTGTAATTGCTAGGACTTTAGGACTTAAGGTGGTGCAAGATTTCCTCCATCAACAGTAGATCCACTTTTTGTGTACTTGGACCCCAAGGGAGGGTACTTTGGAGTGTTAGATGGGGATTCGCGAGTCGCGAAATCCCCTGTAGTCCACATCCTGGACCCCTAAAGTATGTAAAATAACGGCCTTTATGGCTGTTCTTATGGGTTTAGGGCTATTATTTTACATACTTTTGGGGTTTAGGAGTACCCTAAACCCTGAACCCTAAATCCAAATAATTCATCAGTCGCTTTTCCCCTGTAGTCCACACGCAACTCTGGGGCCTCTAGAGTCGCCTACTTGACAAACATCCGCTTTATACTAAGCGAAAACCCCTAGAACTCGAACCCTATGTTAGTCATATGATAGTGACAGGGTCTTTCACATAGTGGCTGGGGCAACTAAAAGACCCCTACACCCTACACCGACTAAAAGCCCCATATGGCACTTGTCAGGGCTCAGGTGTCAGAATGTGAGATCGGCAAGCTCCGGGATTGTCCCTGGGTGACATAACCTTAAACGCTAAATCCTAAACCATATGCCTTAGACCGCCAACAAAGATCGAGGGCTTGGGATCTTCGGTGGCACATGCTTTGCAGAGCCCCCCAACTACCCTTGATTCGGGTCTATGTGGGTCCTGCTGTTGATGCTAAAAATCCTGCGTGACCTCAGTATACCCCTAAACCCTAAACCCTAAACCCTATACTATGGCACCATGATTCTTAGGGCTTCGGGTGCTTAAGTTCATGCAGGACCTAAGCCCTAAGCCCTCAACCGCCGCCTCTAAGTAGCCACATATTTGTGAGCACATTTTGGCCCTGTAGAGGGCACATTTGGGGAGATCTACTCGAAGGTTCCTTGACTTCGTAACTACGTACATTTGGGGTTTAGGGTTTACCTGGACCCCAAAAGTATGTAAAATAATGGCCTTTATGGTTGTTATTACGGGTTTTAGGCTATTGTTTTACATACTTTTGGGGTTTAAGTAGGGCTTAGGTCTAATTATTTGTAATTGGGCTGACAAAGCAACTTAAGACCCCCTAACTGGCCTTATAGTGGCTACCTTAATTATACGTATTTGTTACAAGTGCCTAAACCCCAATCTTTCAATCGCGTGTTCTACAAAGAATGGTTGAGGGTTGAGGGGTTATAAGTGGCTACAAATAGTTCCATGAGCCATGAAGTAGGTTCTCAACCCCTATCCTGCAGTCCTCACATCAAAAAGGCCGCGAACCGACCCAAACCCAAGGCAATCATGTCCCTAGGGGTCCAAGTACACCTGGCACAGGTTTTTTGGCAGGCGCAGGATCATTGGATACTTGGACAAGCCGAAAAGCCGTCTCCCCCCTCAAACACTCACGCTACGTGCACCAGCGGGCTGTCACACCTTGCAAATGCTGATTAAAGTTCCTGCGTGCTTTGTTACCGACCGGTTGAACAGATGCGATAAATCCTACGCTAGGTTTCCCGAGTCCAAACTCCCACTCTCAAGGCTGTGTTTCCCTGCAGATATGGGATTTCTCATAGATCGGGCCACCCGCTAGGGGCTTCCCTGTATGGAACCCTCTATATGGTAGTTTCTGCTGGGGGAACCCCAAATAGGGGACCCCTGATTCTGAAAAAGAGGCTGACAGACAACATCTGATCTATTCATTCAAAAATCACATGCTTTCGAGGCGTTTGCCGAACTCAGTGATTCCTTAGTTTCTGCACCGGGTTGGCAGGATTAGCCAGACCTGGAGGTATTTGATGCTTCACATCCAATGCAGGGACATCTTGTTCGTCATATGTGTGCATCCTTGATTAGAAGCACTCTTGCTTGTCGGGTTGGTTTCAGTAGATCAACTCCAACGTAGCGCCTTCAAGCATTTGCTTGTCTTAACTGGTTTGTATTTTCCCTGAGGCAGTACGATGTCTGGAGTTGCGGCGTGGGAAGCATCTCATGCAGGAGGGGTCCGATTTTGCACAAGTCCAACATTGAGGTGGATGAAATGATTCGCGGCTGGTTGCTCCGCATGCGCTGCGTGGGACGTCCGAAGAAAATGGGAGATTTTTGAAACAGTCGAGATAGAGCAAGTGAATGATTGAGTGACTGAGCGAGTCAGAGGTTTTTCCAAGGAAATACAAGTTTGTTTTTCCGAAAATCAGCCAATGTCCCTGGATTCGCAGATTTTTCAGTGTTCAAGGATTCCCTGAGGACAAAGGGCAACGTGCGCGGAGAATCAAGACAAAAACGAAACCTGGGCGTGTGTTTGTGGCTCCGTGTGCTCTGATGTGATCCCCAGCGGACATCTGATCTCATGATAGACCATGCAGAGCAAAAAAACCATAAAACATCATGCAGAAAACATGCAGAGCACAACAAACACTTTTGCGTAGTAGTTTTTGCCAGCTTCATTTTTGGAATGATATCCCATGTAGCGCTGGTTGCACTTGTTTAAAGTTTCTTCGGCTGATTACCCCTCATATGAACGTGCCTCTTTTCCTTGCAATGTGGAAGCCATCTGCTTGAACTTGCAATAAACGGCACGGTGGACAGCCCCCAATGTGAAGTTTATATGTTAATTTTCTCTGAAGATAAGTGTTTCCCCAAATAAAAGCGCGTGCGTTATGATTTTTTTTTGATTTGGTTTCGCTGGAGCCGGAGGAAGTTACTGCTAAGGTGTTTGAATGTATGTATTGCTGCACAAGCCACGAACTTCATTTCAGCCAGCGTTTTGTGTGAAAGGTGCTTCGCAATCGGATCCTCAGCGGTCACCTTGCTGCAACTTCAGACCTCGAGGTTGTATTCTTAGCGACAATGAGACGTCAATTTTTTCCGAGAGATAGTGGTGGTGGAAAACAGCATGGACCTATGTGTTAATTAGAGTACACATTTGTGGCAACAATAACAATAGCAACCGAAGCGGGCACGATCACATAAGTGTGGTTGAACAAGTGCCAGACCCAGAATTGATTTGCATCGAATGAAATGAGTGTAGTACATGATCTGCAAATTGAATGTTGTAATGTTACCAGGGTGAGTTTCATATGTTGTGGTTTCGTTTTGTTACGCAGCTTCTGATTCTGGTCTTGTTGCGCCTCAAGGTTCTCACCAAGAGAGTGTTTCGATTCAGCGCTGTAGCTGGTTTGAGCATGGGCGAATGTGGAGGGAAGAGCCGTAATTAGTTCTGAAGCCAGAAATGCCAACCGTGAATTTTAACCGGCGCCCCCACGAACGATTCAATCTTGTGAGAGCATAGCTCAAGTTCGAACTGGAAGGGCTTGATTGCTTCATGGACTTGAGTTTCATAAACCTCGCACACCCGCATGGGTGCCGAATCAAGACAGAGTTGGGTCTTAAGCGGTAAGCCATGCACCCCACAGCCTAAACCTGTGTCATAGTAGGAGACTCGAAGCTTTAAACCCCAATGTCGCGTAGTAGACGCTAAGATGTCTACCTTGTGCACCCTCACTCTTCGAAGGTGCCGAACCGGTTACGTGTAAGATTCTCCACCAGAAAGGTAGTGTGTAAGGTTTGCTTCCAGAGTAAACCCCAAAAACTTCAATGCGGAGGTGTTTGAAAGCTGGGGTGGATGCCATTCCTTTCTGGACCTTTGCAGACGGCACTACACATGCTGGCGTCCTGACTGTGTCGGCGGCTCGTTCAAATCAGGCAGTAACTTCCGCAACATAAGCTCAAAACCTGGAATGTGTGTTGTTGTTGTTGTTGCTGTTGCTGTTGCTGTTTCTGTTGCTGATGTTGCTGCTGACGTTGGCGCCGGGGGAGTACAGAACTAGCCGCTGCAATTGCGCTGCGCCTTCAAAGAAAGCCACAAGACTAAATAAAGCTACCATCATTGCAATTGAAACGAATCCGGAACCGTTGAAGGTTTGGCTTTGGAGGCTAAGGTATGGGATTCCATTTTGAAGGTCCAAGAGCCTGAGGGTATGGAACAACCTGCATTCCTTGCAGCCAAGAAGCAGCTGCGCTTGTGTTTTTTCTAGTATGAAGGTGATTGTTTAATGCATATCTCTCACATCCGTTCCTGACACGGAGCCAAGCGTGTCACACGATTTGTGGAGGCTTTCAATTTGAATTCTGTGGCCCGATCTTGACTTCCGTGAACAGCATCTGTAATGAAAAGTCCACTCATATTTCCATGAACTTCTGCGGAGATCGAGAGGGATCCAAAAACGATTGGTTTGACGACAGTGACTAAACCTTAAACTCTTCGCCGTAAACATTCCACGGGCCTACGCTTTTCCACGGCCATGTTTTGTCCTCCCTAGGTGTGCATGTAGGGATGTTGAATCCCCCCTAAACCGGCCCTAGTGAACCTGTAACCCCATACCTTGGATTCTGCCCCCGGGAGGACCCAACCTATACCTATAAGCTATATACTGGGCTGCTGTTGAGGAACTTAGGCTGAGTTACAATTTTTCGGAACCCCTTTACTTACAATATACCCATGTTCTGGTGACTTATATTTTAAGTTCCTGCACAGCAACCCAGGCTATAGCTACTGGGGTCTCCATGACACACCATTTTCCTTAGCTCTTGGTTGCGGCTTGGGGATTAACGTTTTTGGGGGAAAAACACAACGGGGATGCCCTAGGGACCCTACAATGGTTATATTATATAGGGCATAGGGATTATGAGAGGGTTCTAGGGCATCTATTAAAAATTATATTGGGGGTTGCTCTGAGGTACTCCTAAATTCCTAAACCCTACACCCCCTAACACTCCCCCAAGATCTGCAGCCTCAACGCACATTCCTGAAACCCTACACCGCTCAACCCTGAACCCCTAAGGATCTTCAAGCAAAGCTGCAGACTTCTACGCCAGCAGGTCGCTCGGCGCTCTTTGTAAGACCCTTGGTTTACTACTGGGTTAGGCAACTTACCGCAAAGGGTTGCAATGCAGTTATAATGGGCCCTATTCAGAGGACATGATATATAGGCCCTTAAAGAAAGGTTTCAGGGGTAAGACATGTATTCACGAAGGGGTACAGTAGGGTTGTAATGGGCTTATTAAGGGGACAACCTAGGCCCGCTAAGTGAGGGTTCAGGGCGGTCCAGGGTTAAAGCTCCGCGGTTTCGCCTCGTCGCGGCACCAGAAACCCCAAACCTTATTTAACCCCTTTGTAGTAGTTTCCATTTTATTTTCCATTATCCCTGTATAACCTCAATATAACCCTAAACCCTAGACCTTATATTGAGCAGCAAGGCATCTTCGAGTGCATCGCTGTGCAACATGCTGTGGGATGGTGGCTGGCCAATCTCATGCATTCATGCACCATGCCATTACACGGGCCCTTAAAATCTATGGATATGAACTCCAGTGGGCTATTTGGAGGGATGTGGATCAAAAACAAATCAAATAAGGATCAAACAGAAATCAAATAATGATCAAAAAGAAATCAAATGAGGATCAAAAAGACATCAAAATATTCTGCTGTTAGGGGAAAAGAAGGAATCCTACGTAAAATCGTGGATCAAAAAAAATCAAAACAAGGATCAACAAGAAATCAAAATATTTGTTGAGTGCAAAGCAAAGGGAAAATCCTCCGTCAGAAAGGAAGAAAGGAAGGAAGGAAAAGCAAGGAAGGAACACCAAAGAAGGAAGGAAGGAAGGAAGCAGGGACAGAAGCGGGAAGCAAGGAAGGAAGGAGGGAAAGAAGCAGGAAGGAAGGAAGGAAGGAAGGAAGGAAGGAAGGAGGGAAAGAAGCAGGAAGGAAGGAAGGAATGTTCATCGACCTTCATGGATTTTCATTGGCTTTCATGTTTTTCATCTTTTTCATCCGTTTTCATCACACTCTGCATCATTTGCATGATATATCATGATTCTTGTAAACAAATTTCCTATTTTCTCGTCATTTGCCAGGGTTGCTTCTCATTGTGATAATTTGCGGAATGTCGCAGAATTTTCATGTTTTCTTGGTAATGTTCCACAATTCTCTCACATTTTTCATCACAGCATGTGTTGTGGTTTTCCATTACTTTTCAGCAGTTTCCGTGGTTTTGCTTGATTTTCATGATTTGTATCAGTTTTCACCAGTTGCCAGGTTTTTCAGCACCTTTGATCATATTTTAGGATGTCGTTTTGTTTGCAAATGGGGGGGGCTGCGCCCCTCCCAACCCCCCAGATGTTTTTTATCAACAACCAATGCTTCTATTTCCCCTGATTTTTCACAATTTCATGATTTTCTGTCATTGTGTGCAATTTTCTCACATTTTTCATCACAGCATGTGTTGTGGTTTTCCATTACTTTTCAGCAGTTTCCGTGGTTTTGCATGATTTTCATCATTTGTATCAATTTTCACCAGTTGCCATGTTTTTCAGCACCTTTGATCTTGTTTTAGGATGTCGTTTTGTTTGCAAATGGAGGGGGCTGTGCCCCCCAACCCCCCAGCTGTTGTTCACAACAACCCAGGCTTGCTCATCGTTTGACATCATATTCTACCTTCCCTGATTGTTCACAATTTTCATCTTTTTTGTCATTGTGCCCAATTTTCTCATCATTTTTCATCACAGCATGTGTTGTGGTCTTCCATTACTTTTCAGCAGTTTCCGTGATTTTGCATGATTTTCATCATTTGTATCAATTTTCACCAGCTGCCATGTTTTTCAGCACCTTTGATCATGTATTATTATGTCGTGTCGTTTGCAAATGGGGGGGGCTGCGCCCCCCCAACCCCCCCGCTGTTTTTAAAAGCCAGCCATGCTTGTCATTGCACATCTCTTGACATCATATCCTAATTTCTTTGGTTTTTCACAATTTCCAGCATTTTTCATCACAGCATGTGTCTGTCAGTGTTTTTGAGCTTTCACATCTGTTTTGCGTGTATAAAGTGTCAACAGTCACCGGGATCAGGCGGGTCGGTGTCGCCATCCTGGTAATTGTCAGCGTTTTTGAGCTTTCACATTTTTTTTTGCGTGTCGAAAGTGTCAGCAGGCACAGGGATCAGGCAGGTCATGGTCGCCATCCTGGTAATTGTCAGCGTGTTTGAACTTTCACATTTGTTTTGTGTGTCAAAAGTGTCAACAGGCACAGGGATCAGGCAGATCATGGTCGCCATCCTGGTATCTGTCAGCGTTTTTGAGCATTCACATCTGCTTTGCGTGTCAAAAAGTGTCAACAGTCACAAGGGTCAGGCGGGTCGGGGTCGCCATCCTGGTAATTGTCAGCTTTTTTGAGCTTTCACATCTTTTTTGCATGTCAAAAGTATCAACAGGCACAGGGATCAGGCAGGTCATGGTCGCCATCCTGGTAATTGTCAGCGTTTTCGAGTTTTCACATCTGTTTTGCGTGTCAAAAACGTCAACAGTCACAGGGATCAGGCAGGTCGGGGTCGCCATCCTGGTATCTGTCAGCATTTTTGAGCTTTCGCACCTGTTTTGCGTGTCTAAAGTGTCAACAGGCACAGGGATCAGGCGGGTCGGGGTCGCCATCCTGGTAATAGTCAGCGTTTTTGAGCTTTCACATCTTTTGTTTGCGTGTCAAAATTGTCAACAGGCACAGGGATCAGGCAGGTCATGGTCGCCATCCTGGTAATTGTCAGCGTTTTTGAGCATTCACATTTGTTTTGCGTGTCAAAAGTGTCAACCGTCACAAGGGTCAGGCGGGTCGGGGTCGCCATCCTGGTAATAGTCAACGTTTTTGACCTTTCACATCTGTTTTGCGTGTCAAAAGTGTCAACAGTCACAGGAATCAGGTTATTTGATTTTCTTGATCCTTGTTTTGATTTCTTTTTGATCCTGGTTTTGATTTGTTTTTGATCCTTATTTGATTTGTTTTGATCCCTCACCCCTATTTGGAGCCCTAGGGTTTGGATTCAAGGAAAAACTCCCTCATTGAACCCTGAATCCTAAACCCGAAACCCTAATGCCTGCCTAAACCCCAAAAGTATGTAAAATAATGGCCCTAAACCCCTAAAAACTGCCCAAAAGGCCATAATTCTACATACTTTTGGGGTCCAGGTAGGGTTTAGCAACCTTGAATCCTAAACCCTAATCCCTAAACCCTAAATCCCGAAGCCCTAATCCCTAAACCCTAATCCCTAAACCCTAAACCCTAAACCCTAAATCCCTAAATCCCTAAATCCTAATCCCTCATCCCTAAACCCTAAACCCTAATCCCTAAACCGTAAACCCTAAATCCCTGAAGCCCTGTAGGCTCCTCCACTAGCGCGCGGCCGGCGCCCGTGCAGCTGCCCATGCCCAACTCCGACTGTGGGGGACCTTAGGAAGTTGGACGCCCTACCGGTTTAGGGTTTAGGGTTTAGGGTTTGGATCCTCCTTAGGAATTACCTAAACCCTCCATTGCCGTAATATTAGGGTTATATTGGGGTTAATGGAAAAGAAAATGGAAACTACTATAATGGGCTATATAGGTTTAGGCTTTACCTGGATCCTCCAATGTAGTTCCTTTTTGGGTTTGGTATGGTTTTTTTTGGGTTAGGTTTCTTAATAGGACTACCGAAAAAGGTACTACATTGGAGGGTCTAGGTAAGCCCTGGTTTAGGGTTTAGGGATTTTAAGGGTTTAGGCTCCTAGGACTCTTCGGGGGTTTCTGGGGTAAGGTTTGGGCTTTGAGAGCTATAGTCCCCGCCTTAAGTGATAGAGTATGAGACATATGGGGATGTTATTCTAATATACCCAAAGCCATATTCGATCTACTTAAGGGGGACTGTGAGGTGTGGGATCCCATTTTGAGGGTCCGAGAGCCTTAGGATGTAAGAGTACACCCAAAGGAAGGTGACGGCTCTAAGATCTAACTAAACCCCAAAAGTATGTAAGATAATAGCCCTAAGCACCTAAAAACAGCCCAAAAGGCTATAAATCTACATACTTTGGGGGTCCAGGTAGAGGTCATAGGGTCGTCCATCCTGAGACCAAAAATGTTTTGGGTTCAGGGTTTGGGTTTAGGGTTTTTAGGGTTTTTAGGATTTTTAGGGTTTTTAGGGTTTTTAGGGTTTTTAGGGTTTTAGGGTTTTAGGGTCTTAGGGTTTAGGGTTTTGGGGTTTGAGGATTTCAGGGTTTAGGGTATATGTAGTACCTGGACCCCCAA